AACTTTTTAAATATAAAAAAACACTGAATACATAATGTTACTTTCATCCACTCACTGAGTTTTTAATATCTTTAATGTGTAAGAAATCATAGGAAATTTTTGCTTTACATCAGATATAGAATATAATTTTACATGCAGACTACTACAAAATTAAAGTCATATAGCAACTGAAACATGTTACCATGTTATTCACTTTCATCTCACTTTCTTTCTGGCTTTTCAGATTCGGGTCTTCCGTCCTCCTAATTATTCAGGGACTATTGCTTTGGCACTCTTAGTATCTCTAGTTGGAGGATTGCTGTATTTGAGGAGGAACAACTTGGAATTCATATACAACAAGACTGGATGGGCCATGGCGGCACTGGTATGATACATATACACCAATATTAGGTTGGAGTGAAATATTTGTTTTTCTATATTTATCTACTTTTACATGTCAGGGACGTTGTGTGAAATGAGATTAGGTGTAGTTTTCTCCCCATTTTATCAAAAATATGATGTCATGTTTTATGTAATGGAAAAGTTACTTATCTATGCTTGACTCTCTCATCTGTTATTTTATCTCTCTCTAGTGTGTGGTGTTTGCAATGACATCTGGTCAGATGTGGAATCACATCAGAGGTCCTCCTTATGCCCACAAAAATCCACAGAATGGACAAGTGGTATGAGTTACATTTCTTTCTTCCCTGCCAGTGCATATAAATGTATATATATGGTTTAATTTTAGTTGTTTTGTTTCTATTTGGCTTTGTACTGTCTTCTGTCCTTCAATCAATCAAACGTAAAAGCTGTATTTTAAGGTATAAGTTTAATCTTTTTTACCAGGTTCTAAGTGAAAATATATTAGATCAGTGATAAAAACATCTGTAAGGCTATTGGCCTCAAGTAAAATAGACTCTGTCATTACCACCTGCTAACGGGTCAGACATGGGACAGTGTGTGTGTGTGTGTGTGTGTATGTGTGCGCGTATGTTACTGGACAGCTGGGAAGAGTCATTTTGTGTTAATATCACCCTAGAGGCATCTCAGAGTCATCTTGGGCCAAGCAGAGTGGGAAAGAGAGAGGTGTTCGCCAAAAGACTTTTTCTTTAATTCTTTCTTGCTTGTTTTCTCTCAATGGTAAATGGGCCGTATTTCTATAGCGCTTTACTAGTCCCTAAGGACCTCAAAGCACTTTACATGTTCAGTCATCCACCCATTCACACACACATTCACACACTGGTGATGGCAAGCTACATTGTAGCCACAGCCACGCTGGGGCGCACTGACAGAGGCAAGGCTGCCAGACACTGGCACCACCAGGCCCTCTGACCACCACCAGTAGGCAACGGGTGAAGTGTCTTGCCCAAGGACACAAAGACAGAGACTGTGCGAGCCGGGGCTCGAACCGGCAACCTTTCAATTAAAGACAAACTGCCAACTCTTAAGCCACGATCGCCCCCATTTTTCTGCGCTTTCTTCCTTTCATGTTGTCTTCTTTTCAGTTTTTTTTTTGTTTAACCCAGCTATCAACCGGAATTAGAGTAATCTATATTTGACAAAGTTTGTGCACATAAACAAGGAATTTGACTCAACCATCCTTTCTTTCGTGTAGTTGCTGTGTTTTAGAGAATTGCCACTTATTATCAATATGTGTGCAAATACTTACTCACACAGTATTTCCAGATATAGCTTTGCAGGTCATCATTTAGGTTTCTCCACTGAAGTGTGAAATTAAAATAAAAATATGGAAGAAAAATGGAAAAAAAAACTATGAACTTGGAGGAGAGTAGGATCAGAACAATGAAAGTGAAATGGCCATATAGAAGAAAGGGAGGAATCTGAGAAATTATGTTTGTGTCTGCAAGCCGAGTGCGTGTGTGTATGAGGTGCTGTAAGGAACATTATTACTGAAACGCTCTCACACACAGTACTGAAATTTTATCTCTCACACACACTACTGAAATGCTCTCACACTGAAACCCCCTCACACACTCCACTGAAAACCAAGGCATTTCAGTTGAACAGGAAGTTGTTTCCTGACAAGGAAACTGAAGGAAAAAGTGGTAGATTTCAAACAAACCACTACACAGATGTCTACTCAGCAACCTGCTAGTAGCCTAAGTGAAGCAGCTGCATTACTTAACAATATATTAGCTTCAGCATAAGTCAAAATTTTGAATAGCAGGAGACGGGCAATATCCTGGTTAATTTTTTTGGCATATTTGCTTTTTGTCTTTTTTAGCGAAGAAGAAAATATCTTAAAATTATTAATAAAACCAGGGACAGAAGGCTTAGTGTTCCTCCATATAGCACAATGGATATGATATTTACTCAAAAGTATGATGATGTTAAGACACCCAATGCTAGATGATCCATATAAAAAAATTATATGATGTAATTCAAATAGTGGCACATCATTAATTTTTAGGGAAATCCTATTTTTTAAGTCACACCAAAAGCATTGTGTGATAGGGCAGAAAAAAAAGATGTTCTAGGGTTTCATTTTCATCAGTGCAAAAAGAACACTGATCCACCTCAAAGCCAAATCTCTTTTTTAGAAATTCTGCCACAGGATTAATTTTGTTTATGACTTTAAAGTGTTTCTTTAACTTTAGGTAGAATTTCATACATTTCGAGTTTGCTTTATTGAGTGTATCTGAAATAACTAAATTAAAACCATGCCATGTAACCATTCTGTCATAGCTATGAAATATTTTGTATTTGAAGAAACTACTAATACATTTATTATTGCATTTTTTTCAAACAGCTGACATTGTCTTAGCAATAAATTAGGAAGCACTGATGACAAGTTATTGTATATTATAAAGTTTTTAATCAAATGAAGCAGAGGCAGTGGGATCAGTTTACAAAATTAGTTATATTCTCTTTGAGAACAGTTTAGACAATATTTTTCTGAAAAGTCTGTGTAACTTAGAATAATACCGTTCTCATGCAACAAATCTGTTATGAATATAATCTTCTTGTTAAACCAGTCGCTCTTGAAAATAGATTTTTGATTAAGTTTTATTATCCTATTATTCCATAAGGTTGAATTATGAGGAGAGAAGTTGTGGGTAAATATTGTTTTACTCGTGCAATATCATTGCAAAGTCTGTTTGGGAAAGTTCGATATCTTGATCGGGATTTTATTTACCTCAAAATCACATTTTAAAATAAAGTCTAATCCTCCTATTTTCTTAAACAAGGGTTGTGGGATGTGGAAACACATAGAGTCACTCTGTGACAGACAAGATTTTAACCATTTAATTCTAAGGGTGCCAACCATAGATTCAAATTCTGGAGCTTTGATGCCACCTTTATTGTATTCCTTAACAAGCTGAGATCTTTCAATGTAATAGGTTTTATTCCTCCACAAAAATTGGAAAATAACTGTGTTAGCCTTATTAATGTTTTTAGAGGAGATATATAGAGCGTGACAAGGATAAATCAATTTGGAGATGCCTTCAGCTTTAGATACAATGTTTCTGCCAAAAATAGTGAGGTCTCTATTTAACCAGTGGCTAAGTGATGTCTTCATCTCCATGATACGGTTAGAAATATTACAATCTCTTCTAATTAGGTTTTTAGATATTATCAGCCCTAAATATTTAACTTTAGATTCAACTCTAACCGAAGCTATTGAGGAGTCAGAGCTTGTATGAATCGGGAGTAGTTCACATTTTTTGGTATTACGAGATAAACCAGAAGCTTTAGAGAAAATTGAGTTTTCTCTACCACTGATTTATCTTTCGAAAAAATAGATGTATCATCTGCGAATTGACTTCTTTTGAAGTTTTCATTAAAAATTGATACTCCTTGTATGTTGTTAGAATTCTTTTTTCATAGTGTTGAGTTTTTCTATATTGGCAACAGTTGAGGTGCCAATATAAAAAGCTTAGGGGAAATAGGACATCCTTCCGAAGTCCGCGTTTCATGTTCAAGGAAGCTAATATATTGTTAAGTAATGCGGCTGCTTCACTTAGGCTACTAGCACAGCGGTCCCCAACCCCCGGGCCCTGGACTAGTACCGCTCTGTGAGTCGTTTGGTACCGGGCCGCAAGAGTTGAGGCTTGGGTTTGAAATTTAGGGTGTTTATCGCTTTTTTTTTACCGTTATTTTTATATCTTTTATATTGTTAACTCGGTTTCCCTGGGTCTTTTCCCATGTGTTATGATTAAATGTTCTTTTTTTTGGATACCGGTACACATTTTATTTTATTGTATTTATCCGCGACACCTTAAAGGCCGGTCCGTGAAAATATTGTTGGCCATAAATGGTCCGTGGCGCAAAAAAAGGGTGGGGACCGCTGTACTAGCAGGTTGCTAGTAGTGGTTTGAAATGTACCACTTTTTCCATCAGTTTCCTTGTCAGGAAACAACTTCCTGTTCAGCTGAAATGCCTCGGTTTCAGTGGAGTGTGTGAGTGCATTTCAGTAGTGTGTTTGAGAGATAAAATTTCAGTAGTGTGTGTGAGAGCGTTTCAGTAATAATGTCCCTTACGGCACCTCATATAAGTGTCTCACTTCCACGATATGTGTTTAAAATGGGATGTATGCCTTAATTGGATTTTTCTGCTGAAAACAGGGCTTTCACTCACTTTAGCTTAGTGTCAAGGTGCGTAAACAGTTGAGTGCAGAGACGTATACGATGCTTAGTGTCTACTGGTCTAAACAAATATTCAGGCTGAATCGGAATCAGAAATACTTTATTAATCCCAAAGTGTCAACTTATGACACTATGTTGCCAGACAGAGTTCAAAATACTTCATATTCACTCAGAACGTGTAAAGACACAACAGACTGACTAACTCTAACCTAACAATGATGCCCTCTGAAAGCCAAAAGTCAACTATTTGCAGATAGCCAATAAAAGTGAAAGCAGTGCTTCAATAAAACATCAAAGGTTAGCAGGGATGACAACGGCTGCCAAAAACCATCAACCAAACATGTAAAAATCAGCTGGAAATATGGAAATGTCATCAGCCAATAAAGGTGAAAAAAGGAATTGGTCAAAGTCAAACACATAAGAAAAACACTGACAAAAAAAGTACTTTAAAAAACTCAAACCCACAGGAAGAAAATATTCGCAAGGAATCCCTCATTCTTCTTTAACTTTAAGTTTAAAAAAAACTATTTAAAAGACATAATTCTATACTTAGCATGCGTTTTTTGACAGAGTTTGCCATATCACAGTATGTGTGTAAGTATTTAATATGTGCATGCTTCTTATAATTCATGAGTACATGGATTTGGGTATAGTCTATGTATGAACCTCTGTGTGCATAGGTTTGTTAAAGCAAAACTATGTTTCTGTCACATTTTGAGGCAGCAGCTTTTTTTTTTTTTTTGGCTCCATAGTGAGACACACTACAATTTCATCTGCTTCACTGTACCATTCGCCAGTTGACAAATCCTTTCAATATAGTGTATCTGGTCTTGCTCGCTCATCATTTTGAAGGAATTACACGGTCTGGTGAATGTGGGAGATTAGAAAAAGAGGTGAGAAAAGGTAACATGAAAAGGGGTGGGAAGAAACAGAAAGGATAAGATGATACTGATCCTTTCTGAACCATCTTCTCATTCACTGCCATTTACCATCAGGGGATGGAGAGAACAAGAGAGGAAGGTTAAGGTGTGGTTCAAAAGTGTAAAGAAAAAAAGACAAGCATCATTTGTAGTCAA